ATGTTCCCTCAAATTGTGCCCTGTACTAGTAGAGGTTCAGATAAAGACGAGGTGCCAAAGGCTTCACGTCGTGTTCGCCTGAATCTCTACAAGGGTAGATGGACAGAACCAAGAAGAACAAATTTCTCAAGAACAGTTATGAGGTTAAGCGGGAACGCCAAACGTCCGGTCACTGTTGTAATTGTAAGTTGGTTGAATTGAACTGAAAACGAAGGACAGGCTAGAGGGTCAAAATTTGAGATGAATAGCAAAGCGAAAGCAGTGATCGAACATCTGACACAAACAAGGTCATACTATAGGTTGTTCCTGCTGATACCAAAAAACAGCCATACACCTCGAACATAACGCCCACTCGACATGCCATCAAAATATGGAGGAGATCTTCCAAAATCACCATGCCAAGTGGCAAGGACGACTTAAATATGCAATGTGCAGATTCTGACGGAATCACGTGACAGATGCACGAAACGCGTAAATAACTATTTTTGGTAGTCACGTTTTTCACTTCATCCTGAGCAGTGAGCAGCTGGAGGACACGCTAGTACATTGACCATGAGGGATGCCAACGTTTTTGCATTCCGCAAGGCTATGCCTCGAATGGTCAGCTCTATTACTCTTCTCTTCAGCTAAAACCTAGATACACAAAATTTTCCAACAGAGTTGGTCTCCGCGTAATCTCTACAACCTCTGGAGGCGGTCCTGTGGGGCCGAGGCCGTGGCCATCGACTTCACTCGCTCACCCAAGACGTTGTTTCAACAGCGTTGGATCTCGAAAGCACTCGTACGTGCGTACCACGGCGACTTCATAAACGAGAAAATCTTCAAGCGGTGGTACCTCCCCGACACTTCCCGATGTGCGGCCTCGCCAGCATGCGCTTTCTAGTAATGGTGATCTCGATGCGTTTGCTGGGCGTACCGAACAACTGGAGAGAGCGAAGAAGAAGGCATATGACGAGCAGAAGAAAGGCTTGGCTCCTGTGGGCAGTTTAATGCTTGCCGAGGTGGAACGGCGCATCGACGTGTTCATCTTTCGGTGCTGTTTTGCGCATAGTGTCTATGAGGCACGAAGACTTGTAATTCATGGATCCATCCTACTTAATGGCAAAAAGGTGCGTGGCGCCAGTTTTCTTCTGTGGCGCTAGCTTCGATACGTGACTACTAAATGCACGTCTTCAGCATACAAATGCCAACACACGTCTAGCCCCAGGCGACATGATCTCTGTTGACCCTGTAGCCATTCGTTTCCTCCAGGAGCCTGGGTCTTCCGAGGCAGAGTCCGAGGGTGAACCAGAGCCTAAAATCGAGTCCTCAATCCGAAGTCCTCGTTGACGCCTTTCAACCTTCCTCCATATGCGTCTCCTTTCATTTTCATTCCTGCCTATGCAGAGGTCTCGTTTCCCACCTGCAGTGCCATATACGTGCGCCACCCAACAGCACGCCCAGGATACAGTGAAATCGCAACACCTTATGACGCCGATGGTGAAGTTATTCGGCTGGCATGGGAATGGTATTCAAAGATGCGTCCAAGGACGAGGAGTAAGAGCCAGATGGCCAGGGAACCAGAAAATCGTAGAATCGGTGGTCACTAGGCGTGTCGTGGCTAAGATACATCACGATGCTGGTGCATGCGCACAAGTCCCCGACTCGCGATTTCGATCATTATCTCATTGCCCGTCTACTTGTCGTCCTGTATATATTCACCCCAAATTCTACTCCATCCTTCCCCCCTCAGTCCAATTCTTGCATCAATGCTGGTCCCCTGTGCCGTTCGTTCGCACTGTACATCCACGATTTTCCTTCCATGATTCGTGGAGCGGTGCTAGCACTTTTATGGCCATGATTTTTGATTTGTATGTGTTCATTCTGCCACCCATGTTGTGGCTTAGTGCGCAGTACACCTGTACCAGCACGCCTTTGAGGTGTCGACCGTATTCTGATAGCGCGATTTTTACACCGTCAAAAGCAAAGGCCGTCAGTGGAGTTGCGTAATGCGTCATTAACAACTGGTCCAACGCATCTCGTACGTGTCTGCCACTCCCCGATATTTCTTCTGATACATTAGTCTGTCCTCGCTATTTTTTCTTGTCAATGTGCGATATTCTCCATTTTTCGTGCTCTCTCACCTTGACAACTTGTGTTCAAATGTCAGTCTGACCGTTCTGCCCACACAAGAATCCTTCTCGTCTCAAGCCATTCACTTCTGCAGCTCGCTGCTGCAGTAACATCAGATTTTTCATCTTCAGCTGCGAACTCTCGCATTACATTTGTGCGTTTTGGTTTCGCCTTTAGCATTTGCTAACATGTGACGGAGACGCTTGTGTTCGACCCAGATCTTCGTTTTTCTTCTCTCGCTTACCGTGCACGTGGCAGTTTCTTTCCTGCTTCGAGTACGTGTTTCGTCGTGCTTGTAACTTGTATTATCGTTTTATTCGCCGTCTCATATGGCTGTTTTCTCGCGGAAGGTCACCTTGTCCGCGTGCGCGAGTGCTTAGCTTGCATGATTGTCCACCCCATGATGTTGGACACGAGATACCACATACCATCCCACCATTTTCGCGACTGCCCCTACTTTTTGTGCATGGTTGTGATCAGCGCTTGCGCTTCATGTGCAGTCCTGTCCCGCATGCGGTCGTTTTGACCTTCCTGCGTCTGATCTTCCACGAACCCAATGTTGTGGTACGAGTGGGTGAGGAATCGCTTGCCTTTTCCTGTTCTCACTTTGAGCCGCCCGTCTTACACGCACTATTTTGTGTTCCAATGTTTTGCGTTGCGTTCATAGGACCTTCGGCCTTTTACAGAAATATCCGTTCTCTCCGCTGCCGCACGCGATCCAGTGTGGCTTTCTGCATCGCCTATGTGCTACGAAAGCAATCTGAATTATTTGACTGTTTCTGTCCTGCGTGATGCTGCCCAGCGCATTGGATGTAAGTGTTCTGAGGCACGACTAAATGCAAAGTGTCTTTGCAATTTTGCGACATTTTGAAGTCCTGCGGACGGAGCTTGCGAGTTCGTCTGGTGCGTGCTCACACAGCGTTTTTCAATGCACTTTCCCATCACATCTATTCAAACTCGCATCACGTTTATCGCAGCAGAAGTTCACATTGCTTGTGGTTCCGATGTTGCAACTGCACTCCGATTCCTAGGGGGTTAAAAAACTAGAAATGTTCCAAAAATCTCTCAAGAATCGAGATAGCCGCAATGCGACCCCTCGTCAATCGCCTCCTTCATTCGACATTGCATTTATAAAATATCTATCTTCATTCTTTGGACAATGACATAGTGATCATGACCTCCAATTATAGTACTCCTTCCCGCTCTCCTGCACGTACCATGCTAATTGTTTCATGGCTTCGCAGCTTCAGCACGATTGCAATACGGGCCACATCCACTAGCGAAAGCAAGCGCATCAGCAACTCGGACTCGGAAGACAACGAGAAAGAGACAGACTCACTTAGGCACTGGGGGGGTCGCTATCTCGGGACATACGGGAATGTTCCCATCGTCATTCAAGTGGCCAGCAATCTTTGCATGCGCATCGCACCAAGGACTTGAATTGCCCTTCACTTGCGCAGGTATACGCAAAATCGTTGCCTTCGTTGTAGCCTTCAATACCCTTTGAGCACCCAAATGCATCTGCGGATGCCCATAATAAGCATGTGGTATAAGGTCTACACGTAGGTTGTAAAAGTGCTCACCAGGTTTGTCGCAGAGTTGCGTCGCGTTCGGGGGGGTTGCTTTCTCCCCTTGCTTGGGGGGCCCGACTGGGACGTCGGATGCGATAACTACGCCAGTCATCGCTGCGGCAGTAACGAATGCAGTGGTGAGTGAAGTGAACTTCATGGCTAAAATTTGATGGTATTTTCTGAGTAAAGTCCGCTGGCATTTATACACGAATTGTATAAGGTGCGGCCAAATTTGCATGTGCTTGCTCACGCACCGTGACATAATTTTCTTGAAGGCCTCAAATTTTATGCCGGACGTACTCCACAAGTTCCTCTGCTGCGGTTTGGCGAACGTCGGTCAACGATGATAATTTATTCATCCAATTCACATTTGCAGGGATGCGGAAGACGAACTCACCGACCATACACATATAAAAACTCGATAGAGTGATGCTCGCTGCTCGCATGACTTTGCCGTCAACCAGAGAGTAGCCAGGTCAGTAGTTACGGTAAAAATTGCGACGGCGAGCGTTTTCCGAAGACGTTAAATAGATGTTGCTGATATCAGTTGCGGAATACTTGCGTAAAACCTTCTTGATATTTCCAATATCACGGGCAACAAGTTGATCCACCCATTACTGGGCATATTCCTGACATTATTTAGTGGATACCAGAGCACGCAGATAGTGCAAATGCTTCAATGCAACTCCGATGAACCTATACCAGGATTCACACTGAGGTGAAGGCTTGTTGTGTATTGTGCGGGTTTTGTTATAGATGAACTTGGCTTGGCTGCGGCACTAGAGACCAGTTATTAGATGAAAATCAAAGGTGCTTGATCGAAGATGACCCGCTCACATCCTATTGCCCCTCAACAAATGTCCGTATAAGTCGAATCTCACAGGCTCGGGGGACTACACGCTGCTATCGCCGCCAATTACGGTTCCGCAGCTGCTGGCCACGGTGGTTAGGTGGTGCTGTAACGTAACTTAACTTAACTCGTCAAACATTTTCGCAAGGGAATAACCACTAGCAGCAACCATCGATTCAGCACTAGTCATCCCCGATTCCCACGTTAGTGGAGGAAGGACTTTGTTAGTTCCTTACATCTAATTTTCAGTACCGCCTTAACTTTATCCAGCGTTGTTAGCAGAACTCGGGAGTTTTTCGCGAAGGGAGGGAGGGTAGCAGAACCTGAGATGATGCACACTAAAGGACGCCCCCTTGCATCACTGATCAATGACAGCTTCAATTTCGACATTGCTGTCGAGACTGCACAGAATCTTGAAGCATCATGATCCTTCGCATGGGCACCTCCGCTCTCGACCGAGCCTCGTGATGCAAATGGTTTTCTTGCTGGTCCAGAACCTCCAGATAGCAGAGAGTATCTCGCCTGACGACATTGCTACTGAATTTGCGGCTCTCAAAGAGTTGAAGAGGACCGAAGAAGATGAGAGCTTTGACAAAGTTGAAGTGCTCGAGGGAAATGGTGTTGATTTTGGCGAGTTGTATCCGGTCGAACAAGGAATAATTCCACAGGCCATTCTAGTTGAGGTTAATTACATTACATTAATGGCGAGGATGACGCGTGACGGATGGGACGAGGCAACATTGAAATATTGATGAGTTGTCGTTGGGAATGTCATACACAACCCTAGAGTTTTGCCGCGGCAATCTCGGATAATAGGGGAACTCACACCTGGGAGCTTACGGTTTATGCTTATCCGTGCTTGAGCTTACACCCCCCAATACTATCTGATTTGTATATGGGTATAAACAAACCAAAATACATTACATGCGCTGCCGCGTCCAGTATAGTCGGTGAGCGCTGTGACCGCCAATGTCGAGCGTTCTGCCAGTGGATTATTGATCGTCCGAGTCTCGTTAGCGTCATGAGAAAGAAGGACCCTACACCCCCTCCTATTCCCGATGTCCACTGGTCCGTGGATATGACATGGACCTTGCTGTCAGAGGTCGAGAAAGACGAGAACAGGCTTGTTTTACTGGGGAAGCGGGACAAGAAGGAAGTAAGTAATATTCACTTTCGGATCTCCTCAGCGCTGTCTCAGGATATTCTGGACAAGGTAAAGCAGCGCATCGTCTCCTGACTGGGATGAATTTGACGAAGATGATTGCTAAGTCCCCTGGCTGTATACCCTTCCAATTTTTCAACTCTCTTCAATACACTCGTTCACCATGTGACTCCTTTTACACTTGCTTTTATGCTTTTATGGTTAGTTTTAATGCTAGTTCACAGATGTTTAGATTTAGTTTAATTAGTTACATCTGTTGAAATGCTAGTAGTTCTTCGACCAGGAGCACCGCAGCCTCTTTGGGGGATAATTCTGGATTTGCCAGGTTACGGAGAACCATTGTCAACATATATGCGTGTAGATACTGCTCAGTGCTCATGGAGAGAAATTTGTGCCATCTTCGCTTGCAAGTTGTTAATTGATGACAAGCAGTAACTTGGTACTCTGTATTATATAATCTGTGTCTGCGCAAACTGGGGGGTTGTAAGCATAAGCACGGATAAGCATAAACCGTAAGCTCCCAGGTGTGAGCTCCCCTAATGCCGTTTGCTTTCACTCTAACCGCGTCGTTCGTCGCAACCCCTTCTTGCCCAGTGACTCCTTCCATTGCACAAAGTTCAAACCTGTTTCAATACTTTCGCTGATACAGAATATTTAGGACCTACGTTATCTCGTGACGCTCTTCGGCAACCTTTCCTCGCTCCTTGCTGGTCACCCGCCTCGTCAATGTAACCTCAGTAATCCTTCCGACCGAATAAATTTTTGTCTCCAGCAGCCAAGACCCTTGTTGTGGCTACAACACGTCTGTCCTGATTCTGTGATTGCGCCCACATTGCATTACCACCCTTGTCGCCACTGGCTGCAATATGACTCTTAGTAACACGAGAACTCCGCATATGGTGTTAATCCCACTCCAGGACGGCACGTGGAGGCAGCGACCGGCATTTCGCAACTCCAAACGACCCACTGGCTCAATTAGCTTGGACTAGGTCTCTTCGTCTCACCTACAGGCCAGTTTCGTAAAGTGTACAATCTCATTACGGACATACCCGCGGGTGCCGGCGCCTAGCACTGGAGTACACGCACCACCAAATGCTTTGATTCGCGAGAATCACATCGAACGCAGACGGTCGCTGGAAACGTGTTAGTGGTGCGAAGGAATAAACACGAAGTCATGAACTGTGAAGAAGAAGACATGTCGTGGGTTAACGGGATCGTCAAATAGTAAGCCCAAGATGCCTGCCATGATGTATCTACTGACAAAGAGCAGATCTGGGTTCTAGAGATGAAGAATGAGTTGAAATTCAGTGTTCGTTAGATTGCGAGAATATGCTCAGTTGAATCAAGTAACATCCGGTAGACTGGCGATATAGTCTGGATCTAAAACGAGGAATTTAAGAAAAGTGCAAGCGAGCCAGAGCCAGGGACTAGCCGCGTGAGCAACGTTACAGATGCGAGGTGAGATATGACATCAAGGACGGAATGTTGTAGTTCACATTGTGCAAAATCAAGATACAGGTGCCTGGCTTTCCCAAAGCCTCCCTACTTCGTCCCCTTAGCATTGTGCTTGGAAGCTACGTTGACGACGAGACAATGATATGCATGAGTCCCCTGATTGCATGCAAGGGTCTCAATTATCAATGTCACACGTACTATCATACATAACAAATTTTGCGCACCCGTCGTGCTGCTGCGTTTTGGAAACGGGGTCATAGTCCAAGGAAATGTTCATCTCCACGAGTTCACGTGTGCATTTTAATTTCTCTGTGATACAGCATGGAAACATGCCATCAATATTTGAACAGCTGATCTCCCTTCAGGCCCTCAAAAGAAGGGTGATTTTCGTTCATTTAAAGCTGTTCATAACAGATTCTGACCTAACTCTGTCCGACATGTTTGGGCCACGTTTCAATGATGTACTTGCGATGTTCAATGGACATACGATGCGCAACAGCCATGTGATCTATATAGGCTCACCATCGTGATAAGCCATCAAGATGCATCTGCTGCGGAATCGTGGGAGGATGTCAAGGCGAGATAGACTCTGAGATTAAGATGTCTCGGGTCTTGGAGACGACAGTCTCATGCCAATCAACAAAAGCTTTGATACGCACTCAGAGTGCCACATACTGGTGTCGTGAAGATGGTGTACCCTTGTCACTTTACTTTGTATCTGATGCGTGCGATACAAGAAGATCTCTGCGGCCAACGATCTTGTACTCTTGATCAAAGTGTTGCAGCCATGCATGGCCAAGTGCATCATGATAATCCTGTGAAGCATGTGAACAGTGACACACCGGCGATCAACGTTTTAAACAGAAAAAATGCTGTGGGAGCGAGTCTGCATTAGATTGTTGCGATGCTCTATCAGAGTGACATATGGCCGCTCTTCGATTCAGACTCGAGCCTACCTGGGTATTTAAATACAATTGTAGTTACCAGTGCCACAACAGCTGTACAAGAGCCGCGTTCAAGTTCAACAGGCTAAACCGTACTACTATTGACGATACCTGTATGAGCAGGCGAAGATGGAATTTGGAACGGGGCTCTTGTGAACGATGCCCCCTTCTGTGATTGAAACGACTATGTATCTGGCGCTTCATGATTGCGATTAGCATGGACACTCTCACATGTCCGAGTTGGCCGTGATAACACCATAAGGTGGGTGTAAAAAGAAATGCCTTTTTGGGTGCCAAGCAGCAAAAATCCTATTCAAGTTGTCGCCACAACAATATGCCGCAGTTAATGTTGTTCTTTTGTTGCAAGGCAGTTGATGTAGTAGTGTGAGTGGTATATCTGTTTCTTCACCCTGATCGTGTTTTATCCGAGTTCAAGACAGAACTTGTTTTTAGAAACTGGGTCAAGGTTGCCACATTTTTGGAATCAAACGCAACCATGGCATGGCTATATAATGATCTGGTTGTAAAGAAGGTACGTCGGATCCGTGTATGAATGTCGCCCATTTCTATATTGGAAAATTCATTGTTATGGAGGTGTAATGGATCATATATATAGTGCGGCCCCTTTCGAAGTCTCCCTTCGTTGTCCACTTTCGCCAGGCCACCCATTCAATCCTTCATTCTTTTCAGGCGGGCTTCTGGAAGTCCCCACCACACCGTCAAGCCCACAGAATCCTACCGTCAATCCTTTCGTAGCACTCTCTCTTTAACATGGGTCTGGACGACACCCTTGTGTATCACGCCGACATTTTAATTTTTGGTATAATCCTCATCTTCACCGTTGCCAGTCTCCCACGCGCGTATGCTCGTTTCAGGCCGCAGGTCGGAATGGTCTCAAGGTCACCTCCTTCGTTCAATAGCACATCTCCCCTCTACCAAGCCAAGGATGAACCTCAACGTCACCCATCCATACCCTCATGACTCTGAGAATCCGTCCTTTATGGATTTTGACCGCGGGGACTCTTCGACCGTCTGCGCCCCATTACCGTCTCTACACCGAAGTAATGTCGTCGATGAGAAATCCCTGCCGAAGGTTCCGAACCGTGACCCTACTTTACCATCTATCTGGTACCCTGTGGCGTCTGTGTTACGCTCCCGTGTTCACAATGGCTACTCCGTTAACCAAGTTCTCCTGATGCTGGCGTACATCAGTATCATATTCTATGTGTCTTTCTACAAGTCGGATCCATTTACGGACCCTGTCCGAGCCGGTTTTGTCATCACTTCTCAAATTCCTTTTGTATATGCATTAGCCACCAAGAACAACATCATTGGCATGATGGTGGGTGTTGGATACGAAAAGGTGTGTTTGATCAACATGGTTTTTGCTACGTTGCTGATCGCGGCGTGCAGTTGAACTTCCTTCACCGCTTGGTCGGTAAGCTGATGGTCATTGGTGCAAATGTTCACTTCCTCGGCTATGGTATGTACTGCCTTGTGCCTTCTCCGCTTTTGTCTCATCTGATGTGTGCTCGGCGTAGTCTATAAATGGAGCCTCGCTGGCGACATCAATGAGAAGCTCGCCGATGATTCTATTCGCTGGGGCATCGTTGCATTGGTATGTTTGGACCTCTTGGGATTCTGCTCGACCGAATACGTTCGGTCAAATCATACAACCTCTTCATCGCATCCCATGTTGTGAGCTTCACCATCTTCTTATTCGCTGTAAGTAATTCCCCCTGTCTCGTTACCGACCCTAATTTTGTATAGGTATGCTACCACGAGCCTGCCTGTATCCCATACGTGATGGCTGCGTGTGTATTCTATATACTGGATCTCGTCGTTCGTACCATCAAGACCCGCATCACTACGGCTAAGCTGCGTCCTCTCCCGGAGCTCGGAATCACCCGAGTCGAGGTGCCTTCAGTCAATGCAGGCTGGCGTGCAGGGCAGCACGTCCGCTTGCGTGTCCTGTCTTCATCCATGGGATGGTGGGGATGGTCTGAGGTGCACCCTTTCACCATCGCAAATGTGGCAGAAACATCGGAAGGAATGGTTCTTATGTGCAAGAAGACTGGCCGCTGGACAGACAGTCTCTTCAATATGGCTCAAACAGCTTCTTATGGTGTGAAACCGGCAAGGAGGTCGGCCGTGATGTTAGAGTGATGGTGGAAGGCCCTTATGGTACGTTGTCGTGTTACCCGGGAGTCGATGCATCTCATCATATTCCTTTCTTTTCTCGCAGGCGGCGTGGGACACACCGTGATGTCGAGCTATTCTGGGGCAATGTTTGTTGTTGGTGGGAGCGGCGTCTCCTTTGCGTTATCGGCAGTGCCAGATCTGATCCGGGCGTCCACGGACGTGAAAATCATTGATATCGTCTGGGCCGTCCAAGACCCTTGTATGTATCGTTTCACCGCTTTCCTTGATCGCGATGCTCATCTGCCCACGCACAGCATCCCTCACCCCTCTACTTCCCCTCTTTGTGAACCTCGTACAAAATAGCTCATCTGTCCGTGTCAACGTGCACGTATTCTACACCCGCGCAATCAGCACGACATTCGATGGGATGTACCTACCGCAAGGTATCACCCTCCTGCCTGGCCGTCCCAAACTCGAGAGGCTGCTCGATGGAGCCATCACGAACACGATGTCGGCTGGGGGCTCTAACGGTGTGTTTGTAGGCGTTTGTGGCCCTGTATCGCTGGCGCATACCGTGGCGCATGTGGTGAAAGACTCTAACGTCCGTTTGTGCACGGCTGTGGGTGGAATTAAGCTCCATGAAGAAAACCTTTGGGTGGTGATCGAATCAATCTTGCGGTGCAGCCCGTTGACGGGCTATGCACCACTCATCTGTTGTATTTTCATCATTATCGACTAGGTATGAGCTCTAGTAGCTATAGATGTTGAAGCCCAATGTTATCGGCTGGTCCGTCACGATGAATCGACCCCTTGAAGACTGAAGGAGAAACTCATGATAAAGTGTCTACGTAGTACGGGACGACTGGTTCCGCGGAACCAA